CCCCAAAACCCCAAAACCCCAAAACCCCAAAACCCCTAATTTTGGTTTAAGAATTGAATGATGAAGATTATTAAGCATTGATCTTGCTCTGCACTGAATCAAAGTTTTTAATAGTCTTGTCTCTCCTTTTTTTAAGGCTGGATGATCTTTGAGCAAATATGTTGATTATTACTTGTTCTTGCTCTTGCTCTTGGTTAAATCTTGCATCTATGATTCCATTAACTACTGCATTTATAACCCATTCTTCTATTTCATCTTTTGAGATCCCTATGGTTTTGGCAAGTTTCTCAAAACTAATCACGTTATCAGTCACTGCAAGAGAGAAGAATGAGATGTATTGTATTTTATTTTTGAGTACTGACGACTCCATTCAAGAGGACTCAAGATACTCTTTGTTACTTTCTTCCCATTTTGTAAAGTATTCAAGCTTTTCATAAGTGAAGATGTGAAGGAGCTCAATTATTTTTTTCTTTCAATTTTCTTAATTTTGAAAACTTGAATAGCTGCAATATTGTATAAATACTCAAATTGGGCAATTTTAGGATGCTCAAGAGCAAGAGTGATGGTCTTGGTGATTAAGTCCTTATTTTCGGAGATCAAAGTTTCATCTTCTCCAAAGAGTCTGATTGTGTTGAGCATTAATTCATAAGCTGCTAGTTTCTCTTCCTCAATTAGAATGGAAATGATTTTCTTATAAAGCTCAATTCTTTGTTCTGTGGTTATATCCCATTGGTTAACAATCTGATCAATTATGATCAGATTGCTCTGAATGACTACTATACAGTTGTTTGCTTCTCAGAATGAAAGCTATCTACTAAAAACCTCAAATCTACATCTATAGTTTTGCTTAAAAACATTATATAATAGAGTGAAAAATCTCACTTGAGTTTGCAGATCTTTTGTATAACCCTCAATAAAGGAAAAAGCAATTTGTAAAGCTTTTTTCATGGTTTCGAGATTATTTTGTTCCTTGATATCTGTTAGTATTCAAAATATGGTGATAGCATAGTTATAGATTTCTTTTTTATCGAGTTCATGGATAAAACCCGGAGGAGAGATTGACCTTCTAATAAAATTAAGCATATTTTCTGAAATGCCAACAATGATCTGTACCATGAATGTTGCTTTTCTCAGCTCTATAGAGAGATTTAGTATCTCGATTCTTCTCACAAAAGTGCTCTTTGTGCCCTTGTATTCCTTTAGCCTGCTCATCCAAATTCACTTTAACTCTCCATGCTGAGTGAAGTGCTTTTTTTATCCCCGTCAAGCCAGTAGAGCTCATGACTTGCTCCTTATTATATAATTGAAAGATTCAGGGTTTAGGCAATCCTTTATCCTTCCTTATCAACACCTAAGAGCCCTCTCGACAACAGTTGTGGTAAAGCTGAGCGAAAATTGTGCCAGTGATGGCAGTTTTCGCCAAATGATTTGATGAGGTATTTGAGAAAGAATGGGTGTAATGAGATCTTGTAGGAAGAAGTTATTTAGTAATTGAGTTGTCATTCCTATTTATCGCGTCCATCTCAAAAGCTTCTTAAAGGTCTCAGAGTCTCTACGAAGTGCTCGTCCTTTTGCTCTAACAAAAATCTGGGCTGTCAGCTCGATTATTGTCTTCTCAGCTTTAAATTTTTGCATTTTGGCTTCCTTGACTTTCTCCTTAAGGTTTTTCATGTCTTGATTCTCCATGTCTCTTCTGAATATCTTTGACTTTCTCATCAAAAATTGAGTTCTACCGATGTCATCTCCGGATATCACCACATTCTACTGAAAAACTTATGAGAGAAAATTTTAGGAATTGGTAAACATCTTAACTTACTTTGTCTTAATGTAGAGGTAGAACTGCTTCTTCTTGAAGAAGAATTTTTATCTATACTTTTACCCTTCTTAATAAACTTCCTAAACTTATCCTGAAGTTTTGTGTTGACTGAGGGCGTTAAAAGATGCAAAATTGATAATATTTCAGATGAATGCTCAGTTTGGGATCCATGGCTTTCCTTTCCTCTCTGGGGAGTACATGTAAATGCCGAAGTGGTTGCTCACAAAGGCGTAGATTCTATCAACAGTCAGAGTCTTGAATTAGGGAACTGTGATGCGTTTGACTTGTTTGCCTTCCATTAACTACTCAGGGTATCATATTGTTGCACTTATTGGGATAGTCTCGTCCCAAATTCCTCCAAGAAACTCGAAATTGATTTTTTGAAGAGTGGTAGGTAAATTCCTCCCTAGTTAATCATGATTTTGCACACCTCGGTCCTAGACTTAGCCTTTAATCGACTTGTAAGTTTAGTTCTAATTCGTTATCGGTATAAATAGCTGCCTATCTGTTACGGACAGCTCTGAGATAAGTCTCTTTAGATGTTTGAATGAATTGCATCTTTATTGAGTTTGAGTTATATTATTTAATTAATATTATCGCTTTCAATGGTTGATTTCCTCATAGGGGTTTTGGGGTTTTGGGGTTTTGGGGTTTTGGGG